ATAATGATGGATTGACATTTGCAGCAGCAAAGCATTCAGCTTTTCAAGTTCGCTTTTAGCGGTTTTCCATAAACTTTAACCGCTTTTTATAAGACACAAGGACTAGTAGTAAATGATTATTAATACACTGATATCAATGATTTTACCAGTTCATCAATCACTTCAAATACCTGTAACAAACAAACAAGCAAACAAAGTTGTGATTAGTAAATTTCAAGAATGGAACTCAAAACAACACAGAACATCCACAACGGCCTAGCATCCAGGATCCTGCAACATAAATTAAAATATTAGTTATCAATTCAAACAAAACGCCCTGAAAACATTGAAGAAACATGTGATTAGTACGTAGAAAGTGCTGAAAGAAATACATAATTCATTAATGAGGATTTTTGGAACTCATTCACACACACAATACAAATACATAATAAAAATAGCACAAATAACAATAAAAAATACGAAAAATAAACAAATGTCACCTAAAAGAGAAATAAATTCGATTAGTACACACATATAAATTGCTGTAAGAAAAAAGACATTAATAAGGATAAGGAAGGACCTAAACCCCTGCCTAATGACAACCGATAGCTAATTCGCGATTATCCTGCAAGCGGAAAAAGATTAGTACACAAATTTCTAAACAATATTCATCATTCACACAGCTAAAAGGAGTAGGATACTTATAACTATTTTAATAAGACCTGCCTCTGTCCCTACCTAAGTACATGAGATAGCTTAGTGAACACAAACCGCTTATAATAAAAAAGAGCGCACCTAACCCGCGACGCGTTAGACGATTTGTGCTCAATGTGCAAAACGGTTTTGCAACGAAACAAAAGTGACCGACTGCTACATCCCAGCGGCAGCAGCCGGCTTTTGGTTGCCCAAAATTTAACACGACATACACAAATGAAATGAAATACAATGCAACACACGCATACAAAGTAATAATTCATTCAACAATCAATCCATTCATTCTTAAAATTGTTCACTTTGCAGATTTAACTCTGCTAAAAAATGCCCCGACCGATGCATTGATTTGATTAGTGTTATTTGTGGTGTTCTGCGTGAACAGAACGTGTAAGTGTTGTGTTGAGAATGTAAGGTAATGGGTGTGCCTAGACACACCAAAAACCCAAAAACTCCGCATTCGCCGAAACGAACCGAGCAAAAGTGTAAGTGATTGTGTTGTGTTTAGTGTGTGTGTGTGTGTGAGTGTGAGATTTTACGTGCTTTCGTGCGAAAACGGATAATAAACAAAATTCGGTTGAAATGAGAGCAAATTATTAAAATGTAAGCAAAGTGTTCACGGTGACACATTATTATTAATGAAATTAATACAAATTGTTAATAAACTTTGAGTTTTTGAGTTTGAAACGCGATTGAATTTACCGCGATCGCGATAGGTATAGGTATAATAAATGTAAACTCACTGCTTATAGACATCCGGCGTTTCTAGCAATGCTGGGAGGATTAGTCAAATGACCAAGTACTAGCTACACACGCCACCCCCAGATACAAGAGTGTCATGCATACGCCAGCCTTCTGATCAGTGACATCACCCCTGCCTACCTTCATCCCATTCCTCGAAATGTTGCATTACCATGCTTATACAATATTTCGGAGGAGAATCCATCCGTTGATTTGGGAAAGTTTGGTGTTGGGGGTCTCATCTATTCCATCCCTTTTTTTATTGGTCCCTTTGTCATCTATTAGTCCTTCCTTCATCTATTGGTCCATTCCTCTTTTAATGGTTTGTTCAATTTCTCTCCATCATCTGGTCTCATCTGATTTGGCGTTGCACAACACTTTATTTTTTTTTTGATTATTTCAATTTAGGAAACAAGTATTCTGAAAGTAACATAAAATATTAGTATCGAAATATTTATAAGTATTGCATACAGGTCAAATAAATTTAAGAGTAAAGAAAGTTATAAGAAAACTTACTGAAGTCACTGGGTTTTTGAAGTTTCTTTCCCCTTGATGTTGGGAATGATTGGTTTTCTTATACTAGACCGTAATTCTCGATCAGAAAACATCTTAAAAATTAAATAATTATTAGTAAATTGGAGTTATTATTTTAGTTTTTAGTTTTAATGTTCTAATGCATTAATATATGTTATTATCAATAATACTTACCAATTTCACACTCGGCTACTGCGGATTATTTGATTTTCTCCAATAAGCTTCTGTCTCGTTCATAACATATCTAAAAAAATAGTTCAAAATATTTTAATAAGTTATCATTTCTTTTATTTTAATACTCACCTATTGAGTTTAGGTTTGTTTCACTATTCTTTAAAATGTTTCGCTCTATGTTTCTTTGTTCAAGTTGACAGAAGCGTCACTTTAACGGTCATTTTTAAAAATGCTACGTGGACGAATTCTATTGGCTGTCGTCTACTGGCAAAAAATAGGTTATGTCAAAAATTCAGCTCGAATTCTTGCGCAGAGCGACCGTAGCGATGTGCACCCGGAAAAACGTAAAATTGAAGTGAACGAGGTGAGCCGAACTGCCCGCTTTATATAACCTCCCCATGTGGAGGTGGGAAAAAAAAAAGACATTTATGAAAATTTTGAATTTTTTTTTTAAATAAACAGTTTATGGTTATTCTAACTTAGTGAAAGTAATCTATGATTAATACTATGAATTTTGATACCTTTTTCTCGCTCCAAGATGCTCTAACTCGGCTAGAATAAATTTTTAAAAATCCCATCATTTTAACCCGAGCTCTTATGGAAGAAAAATTATTTCGTAAAATAATTAACGAATTCGATCGGGAGTGACATAAAAGGTGCAGAATTTTGCGCCCTTTTCAACGGTGTATCACACTTGAGGTTTTATAGTGAGGTTTGGTTTTTATTCGCGAGAGAAATTTCGACCGTTGACGTGTCAATTTTAAGAAAAAAACCTATTGGTGTCAAAGATGCTTTTGCAAATTTCTCTTCAATCTTACGCTAAAAGTTAAATCCGAGTGCAGAAACGTGATCCTCGCCGTCGAATACACCCCAGAGAGTGTTATTTTCTCGAATCTCACTTTAATTTAAAAGTTACACGTGTTTGTGAGTTTTAAGTGCATCAGGTGTGTTTGCAGGAGTCTCACGGTTTTCCTGCTGGGTTACTCGCAAATCCTAGGCCGGCAATCGTTAGATCAGCTCATAAACTATGGATATCAACCTTTTTATGGTGCTGATACGTTTTGTGGATGTTGTGGTCGAAGTGGAAACACATGGCATGCCAGAACCTCAATTTGCAACATTGTTGTAGGCCCCCACGACTTAATTACAACTCAGAACCAGGAAAATCAAGCTTGGAGACATCAATTAGGATATTAGCTAAGTGCTCAATGCATTTCATCCAGTTATTAAGGTGTGTACAATTTTTCTAGGGTGTAAATCTAGTGCATGTAAATGAAAAGTGTCAGGGGCTGTCTTCTTAGTTGTTTATGCATAATAAGCGATTGTTTCACGAGTGTGTTGTTTTAAAAAGCTTTAGGAATATATAACGAACGTTTGTTGTCCAACATTCTGTTTTCTAAATCATTTATTTCTATTGCAGACTAAGTTGGATATTTGATATTTGCTGTGTTGCTATTTGTGGTGATAACAATGAAAGGAGAGGGAAATTTACAATTCTGACTGCAGGTGTTATTTAAACAAGTTAAAATACCCCTAGTAACGTCTTGGTTGCATTTATGGCGGATCAAATATAGTTTAAACTGCATGGGTTGGACGTGAATTGGTTCGTTTTGTGGAAAATTCATTGTATTCTTGATGATAACTTTGAAAGTTCTAAGAATTTCGAAATTCTGATTGCTGATTCAAATTCAGCGAGGCTAAATTCAGGTGAGAGGATATAAACAAGTTTCTGGTTGGATTCTAATTGGGTTTGCTTTAGGTGCATTTACATATACTAGGGGAGGATGTTCACCATTCTTCAAGCTGGAACGTGGGAACGCCTTCAGGTATTCCTACCTGACGGCGATGCCCCACCATATCTGAAGGAGTGAACATATCTGCTGAAGGAGCTATTGCACATGAACCGTCCGACTTAATCTTATCAATGGAGTTTGGGTGCGAGATACCTGGCTGTGCGAGTAAATCACGGATCACGGCCAACGGATTAACGACCAAAATGCATTGACCAAGCTTGTTTTACTCGTATAGTTTACTTTAAAATTACTATTCACCTCAAGTTATACTAATAGGTAGTGGTTTATTTATAAATACTGTTAAATATGTAGGAAATTATCTATTTTTCATTTTATATTTGTCAGATTTGTATAAACTCAGTTATAATAGTGATTATTACTTATCAATAACTGCGCAGATATTTCTCTTAAGTGATTTATCTTTTGGTATACTTTGCAATTGTAGTAATTGTATCTATATACAAATCAAATCATAAACTAAACGGAGAGGAAGTTAAATATTAATTCTTCACCAAGTCTAAGCACGAATAAGCACACGTAGGTATGTCAGATGTATTTTAACTATAAGTATATTACATTGTGCGTTAAAAGTATTTCTCAAAGTGAAAATGACATAAAGAAAAGTAATAAGTATCAGCTTTATTCGATTTAAGCACAGGAGTATGAAGATTAAATTCACTTTTTTTATGATAGAAAACACAAGAAAATGTGATTTTGAATGTTTTACACTTTTTTGTCAATATTTTGTCTGATCTAGTTAGAAAAATGATGAAAAGTAGCAGTTTTGTATTGAAATTTAAGGACAAGGATTTTAGATCCGTAAAAAACTGGAGAAATACATTAGATTATACTTACTATACATTTACTTGCGTACAAGCGTTGCGACAAAAAATTGGTGCACGGACAAATCATGATTCGACCTTTCAACTGCTTTTTTAATTGGCTGACCAAGAGCCACTGATAACACAACTAATATTGGAATCAACAGAATCATGGAAAAAAATAGCGATCGCATCACGATTCAGTTTAAATCGGCTCGTCGCCAGACAGACAGAGTCCGGAGTGTAATGCTCGCTGAACGATTTCGCGACGGTCACGCATCTTACACGAGCTTTGATTTGAGATGCCGCGTATGTGCTTTTGAGCAGTGTGCTTAGAGACATCATTGTTGAAAGTTCGAGAAAGCATCACTAAAGTTTTAAATATCAGTAATTACTTTATTATTCAAATCAATTTAATAAAGCAGGTATGTCTATCTGTAAAAGGTGTGTTAATCTTCTACTCCTAAAGACTATGCAATGGTAAGTCAGCAAATTATTGAAACAATTCTTTTTAAAAGCATATACCAATGATTATAACCATTGCAAGTACCTTTTTTTCAACAAACCATGGTTTCATTAACTTTGGTTTTTCATTTACTTAATACAATAGTGAACAAGTCAGTATTTGATATTCTAACAGAAATTCGAAGCCAGTGCTTCAAAAGTGTATAAAATGTTGTCCTTGTAAAAAAAAGCGCTATTTTAAATAATACTGTTTTTTTATTCATTGTCATTTCTTTGTTTACTAAACTAAACATTGATATAATCTCAATTTACAATGAGCAATTAAAATATAAGATCTGAATTTTTACTTTCAAGATCCAAAGTTATTCAAAATATAAAAGCAACTACAAATCAAGAACTTGGCTGCATTCCAAGATTTAGTTTATTTAACATTTGTTCAAGATCATTGAACTACGAAACAAAACAATTGTTGTAATCGTTGACAAATTATTTGTCTGTCATTGCTAGCCAAAACAAACAGTTTAACTGTATTTTATTTGTTTGTTGATTAACTTTGCCAATTATAATTGAAAAACATGTTGGCATTTTCACTAATTAACTAGAATTTCATATACACTTATAAATCATGCAAAAAATGGCCCTGATGAATTTAATACTCTGTTTTTATGTTGTTAAAAACACAGAACAATGACATTAATGTACTGCCATCGTTTTTTATGTCAATTATCACGATTCTAAAGAAAGCTTTTACGGCAAACGGTCTAAAATGCTTCTCGAAACTTTCTGGCATCAAAACATTCGTATTCTTAAATTATTTACTCATATTAATTGCTACTAGGGCCATGGTCACTTCCAAAAACTACCAAAACAATAATAACGATTCCGGTTTTGACTGTGTAGTACTTGCACGTACTGGTTATCAAAAAATACGAGTACGTTAGTTCATAATCGAGTAAACATGTAAACATGTATATTCTAGAGAGACATATAAGGACATTTCATCACTAAAGCATTGCAACAATTGCATCAGTGATGAAATCAATTTTAAAGCTTTATATTTGTGTCCATTTTACTTCCGTGTTCATTAGATAACCCTTGCACAATTGAATCGTTATAAGAAATGAATTAAAGTTTGTTTCGTTAATTTTAAATCATGTCGACATATAGTTTGCACATGCGCCACAGATATGCTCCCGAAATTTTTGATAAAGCATCGATATTATCAACTTTACTACACATAACTGGCCCACAGCAACCGAAACACAGATAGGAGTTTTTAATACATTTTAACGATTCATCTCAATTGAATACATATATTGTGTCTACAATTTGTCAAGCAGTCGGTAGCCGCTAACATCGTCCTGGAACAGATTGGAAATAATTTGATTTTGAGATGGATTTCCCTCATAAAAAGTCAGTATAAATCTATATATGGGTAGCAATATATATCCAAGCTATTCTTAGACCTTAATATGATATATGCTAAAAATATTTATGAGTGAAATTAAATAATACATAAATTAGGAGTAAAAGTTCGGCAGCCACCAAACAAGTTTAGGATTTTTGACTCACTCAATAAAATTTAACGACAAAAAATGTAAGTGCGTCACAGAACACGTTAATCGCTAATTATTCCTAAACTGCAAAGTCGTATATTCTATTTGTTCTACAAGAAAAATACTGTTATAAATAAATGAAAACCAGACAGAAAATTGTGTCGCATTATCAATTTTATTTATGAGGAAGTTCTCCTTTTATTGTCAGAATTATCACGAACGTTTGGGACATTGATGATTTTTAATTTTGACTAGATAAGCTGTTAAAATCTTATATTACTATTATACCAACAATTAAATTAACGTCGTAATAATATACTAATGACTCACACGAGTTGCGCATCAAATTCCAGTTTATTCACACGAATCTAGATTGTTTCAAAATATGCCATCCACAAATACGCACGTAAATAAAATGGCCCAAATACATGTGACATTTTTTAAATTGCTTTCGTCTGAATACACGCCATAAACAATGCCTGCTTAGCGTATTTTAAGCCGTAAATATAATCAATATAATCACGTTTTATTATTAGGTTTGGACGCTTTGTTTGAAGTCGTTGTGAATCGTGTTGTTCGTGTATACAATACCAAACTGGTATCTTCAACCAAATACGTGCAAATTAAAATAATTACAGGGTATATCAATGTTTACAAATCAGTCTTTCTAATATTCTACGTCTAAGGTCAGCGTTTATTGCTCATCAAGTTCCTTCCTGCATGAACCTGCCGGCGGTGATCAGCGTTAACATTTGAATATGTAAAGTAATCTCAATTTCCGCGTTCGGGATGACTGACTTTGCTCAGGTGGGTGTGCGCACCTTGCCAACTCGTATCAAGTCAACAATGCCCGTGATCATGCTGCGTCAGGTAGAGGCATTTTCTCTTTAAAAGGTCATTATTGTAAAGATCGATCTCGCGCCATATCTAGATAGGTAAACCAGTCACGCAGGACCGGTTTCTAGGCGTATTCATTCAAAAATTTAAATTTATTTTTATTCTATTATTAAATTAGAATAAATTCGGTTCTGAGTGAAAATATAACAAAAGGGCAGTGCGGGTGTTCCGCGATAGGCCGGTACCAATACCGGCAGTACTCCTACTACTACTACTACTACTTAAGTGATTCACCTGTACTCTATACAAGTACCCTTGATGCATAGTAACACTGTTAACCCCACTCGATTTGTGGATATAATCACACGTAAATAGTATCTCTTCGCAAACTATATAAAGCAAGCGAAACCGGCGTGTCAGCTGATGTTCTCGCGGTCAGGTAACAGGGACGGAACCCCCAGACGCGCATTCTAGAAATAAACTTTTAACGGTTGTGATTTGTTAATGCCAGTTATCGTGTATGCAAATTCACAGAACACTCACGTTTCTACTTGCACAATAACAATAACAAAAAATAAAATCAAAACATTTGCGTTGCAAGAAAGTGAATCAAAACAATATGCAGAATTTTGCTGATTCGTTTGAATTGGCCGAACGCTTGGCGAAGGCTTGCTCGATGACTTCGCCTAGTGCGAAGAAGCGATTGTTTGCGCGTAGTGTACATTTTGGAAGGATTAGTGCCGAAGGGGATTATGTTCCACCAAAGGAGTTTTTAATGTACTTAGTAAGGTAATAATTTAAATACTTATTTGATATTAATTCGTCTCTACATAAAATTGAGATTGTTTTAAATTTTATCTAAATGTCAAACCATTTTTTATGATATTTTAAAAAACAAATTGAATCCAAGTTGTTTTTGATTGTTGTTAAAGTTGCAGTATAGTTTATTGGCCTTTGCAAACAAAACGTGTGACTTACCAATGTTCAAATCTCAATAACTGGCTACTTTTTTTATATTTCAAGATTTCTCGCGCAAAAACAAACCTAAAAAATCATAATAACATAATTTATTATACTACCGGCTAGTGGCAATGAGTCTGTTAGTTCTTTCCAAAACATAACTCGGTAGAAAGCGACTTGAAGCGGTAAATTCCGAATTTCTATATCAATTAAATATGCGCACGCAACAATTTCGTCGCGTCCATCAACGCTGAATGCATTACATGTCCCCGCGGCTAAAGGGCAACTCTCAAGCGCCGTAATCTCCATGCTCACAATGCGTCATTGAATGAGATAAATAACTAAAAGAAGGATTTATTCGATTTATACTATCAGACGTGATTAGTGATTAGTATGTATTTAATGACTGATAAGCTGTCGTAAGCGATTGAGAGAGATGTTTACGCATTGCATGTTAGGCACGTTAGGCTCGCCAGCTGAAACAGTTCATGAAATCGCCATGATGAAGCACATTGTTTACATAGTCTTGACCCATTTCAATCGAGAATATAACCCACGTTAAGCACCGGCGAGCCAATAAAAATTATTGACCAACAGAAGCCACAGATGAAATTTTTTTCTCTATTGCTTCAGATAGGAACAAATTAGTGACTACACTAAGAAGAAAAAATAATCATTGGTATATGCATTAGTGAAACAATAAGTGTGTATAGTTTAATTAATAAAATATTGTGTTTAATTTAAGCATTTAACTTATTCGTTTGTGGAAAATATGTCCGTGATGAAAATTGCATTCACCTACACATTGTGTGAAGAATTTAGCATATTCGAATAAACAGTGTGTAGCTAAAAGAAACGCTGTTTGTTTAGTAAGTGCTAAACGGAAGTAAGATGGCGGTATCCATTCGCTCAATGATTCAAATTAGAAGATACTCAAGGCTCGTCGCACTTCCAAAGCACAGGTGAGCCAAAAAAAAAACGACGGATTTAAGTTTTATATAAATCTATTTATTTCTGTTTACTGCATATTTTGAAACGGTGCTGTTCCAATTATCATCTAAACGTTATTGTTTGGTCTTACTACGCGACCTTTAACTTGACCTTAGGAAATATCAAGGACCTTAAGGATCGTAAACAGTCTTCCTAGCCAAAGTTAAGATGGCGTCACATACACGCCTGCGGTTTGCACCCGCGCATAATTTGCGAAATCATTCGAACGTAGTGCGTTGTTGTTTACCGTTTTGCACTTGGCTAGCCGCGTACGGTTTAGAAAACTAGACAATCGGTCAAAACAGTGCGTGAGTATGACGACATGACTACCGTCGATACGATAGTGTGTGAACGTGGGCTCATCGCGACCTTGCACATGCTAACGAACATGTGAACATTAATACTCGTGGAGTAAGTTGCGTAGAGGTGCGCGCGCGAAATTACGAGTCGAGTCCGCCTTCCGCAGTATGTTTTCGTGACGGCCGATTGAAAATTCGTGCACATCGTATTCGTGAAAACGTGTGCGCTGATCACATGACATGCGTAGATTGAGAGGAGTTATTCGTCACATACTACAGAGGTAAATGTCATTTTGTCCTATCATTAACCGAATGTGTGGCGATTTGCGTATTTATCAGTATTTCACGGTGGCCTGTCAGGATGCGAAAACTGCAAGGACAGCAGTGAGTCGATATTTTGGTTTGACAGAGACTTGAATGAAATCAGCTGATGGTCCTTTCCCATTTTAGATTTCTAATAGCTGCACTATGTTAGGATATAACTTGTTACACTTTGCGCGCATAGATGGCACACGCAGGTAGACATTTTGAAATTACAACAGAAACTCAAATTGTATCGCTTTTATTTATGCTGAAAACGAGTACTTGATTTTTGACGACCTCTGAACTCTACTTCAGTTTGTGTATTGTTATTAGCTTCAGACGTTTCGAGGCAAGAAAATATTATTTAGTCTCCAGATGCATATCGGAAGCAAGTTCAATTAGTTACTATTATGTTATTGTGCGTTATTGTTCCCTGATCATAAATATGTATTCACTAGTTGTTTGCAGGGCATTGTACTATGATTGTACCCCTTTCTAAAATAACACACTAGTTCGTTTTTGTGTTGTGCAGCGCCAAGGCTGCACATTTTACAAGCGGAATACAGATATTTTCTTCGGGCGCAGTCATGTAGCCATAGTAGTAGTTGTAAAAATATACACACATAAAACGGTTAATTTATTTTAATGTTATTATAATGTGTATTTGCAAGTTCACAAGAGTGCAAAATTGGGTGTATAAATGCGCACCGTCGTCTCGCCATAAGTTATTTCTTATTCACAATGTGCGACGACGACTTGGTTCCAGCCAACTTTAATGATCAAACTGTGCAATCGAAATTATTGAAGAATGCATTGTTACAGAAGAAAGTTTTACTACGGTTGATATAAATATGACAATTCATTGATTTCTAATTGGTTTTTCTTGGTTTTTATTTCAGAATGGGCAGTTTTTCATCAGCTCCAAAAATTTTGAATCCAGACGTGCTGGATGGAGACGTGGATTTTGCTGGAAGCATTAGCAGACACGAATTGCTCCAGTACTGTCAAAAACAATATCAATCATATCCAATGGTGAAGAGATCTTTCAAACGACATAATAGCGAAGACTCTTTTTCTACTGTTGGTTTCAAAGCACGAAAACTCAATGGGATTTCAAAGGGTTGCAGTGAATACTTAAGCAATCCGAATAGTATTCGTGTTTTTCAATGGAATATTTTGTCCCAATGTAAATAAATAATCCTTATACTTTGTAAAAATACTAATTTTTGATTGTTTTAGCTCTGGGTCAATGTAATGACAATTTTGCTCGATGTCCGACAAAGGCTTTAGATTGGCACAACAGACGATTTCATATAATTGAAGAAATTATCGAATATTGTCCAGATGTGATTTGTTTACAAGTATTTATATTTACCTAAAAGTGTATTTCTGTAATCTATAATATTTATATGTTGCAGGAAGTAGACCATTTCAACTTTTTACGACACATTTTGAATACTCAAGGATATGTTGGCATGTTCTTTCCAAAACCCGATTCGCCATGTTTATACATTGACGGAAATAACGGCCCGGATGGCTGTGCCATTTTCTATCGCAAAAATAAATTTGATTTTATAAGCAGTAAAACGAGAGTTTTGGAAATTTGGAGAGTGCAAAGTAATCAGGTATGATTAATCACAAAACCATCAATATTTCTTTACCTTCAATCGTTTGTGATTAACACTTCCGGTTTAACTTCAGGTTGCATTAATGGTAATCTTACGACTGCAAGAAACAGGCCAGGAAGTGTGTATCATGACCACACATCTGAAGGCCCGCAAAGGTGCGCTGTTGGCGACCTTACGAAACGAGCAAGGTCGCGACCTGCTGCAGTTTCTCTCATCGCACTGCGGCGACCGACCGGTCATTATGTGCGGAGATTTCAATGCAGAGCCGGTTGAACCGATCTACACTACAATTACCAAGAACAATACTTTGCGTTTGTCGAGCGCATACGCTGATTGTGACGAGGCCGGTAATGAACCCGCCTACACAACGTGGAAGATACGAGACGAAGGCGAGATTTGCCACACGATTGACTACATCTTCTACACAAAAGACAAGATGGAGGTGGAGAGCGTGCTTGAGTTTCCCACTGCGCAAGAGATTGGCACAGACCGAGTCCCTTCCTATAATTATCCTTCGGATCATTTCAGCTTAGTGAGTGACTTTAAGCTGATATAAACATGGTATTAACTCATTAGTTGTTATGTTGAAAAGTAGCGAATACACTTGATATAAGTAAAGGTTTTAAGTCGTATGTTTAAGTCAATTCTGGAGTCAATGCACATTTGTATCGGTTAGTGACGAAATTGTACTTATATTGTGATATAGGTAGTAGTTATTTTAATTTATTTTATTTTATGACAATTAGACGGATAGTATAGGTTTGATTTGACAATTGTTTCCAACTAAGATATATGAAAGAAGAATTATTTTTGTTAGTTGATTTTAATTGCGGTAAATCAAGTGTTGCATAATTATAATGAAATAACTATATTGTTAATGTAAATTAATAATTTTATTATAATAATAAGCGTGTTGAAAATCTAATTTGTTCAGAGTTCCTGCGATTAAAATAACCGGAATAGAGCATTGCATGAAACAACAACATTTGTGAGGAATATCCAAGCACAAAAGCACTATAGTATGTTTTATTTATATCTTGATTATAGGTATACGAAACTAGCAAATAGTGCCTCTATTAAAATGAACCAAACGTGTTAGTGAACAGACAATTTGCCCGAACTGCTTCTTCTTTTCAATATATCCAAAATATATATGGTGTGTTTAAGCACACCCAACATTAATATTGCAATTTTCGTGAAATAATTATAATCATTAACTGTTTATTCTGTTAAGACGACTTTATTTTTCGTACATTTCGGCATAATTAATAGCAACAAATTAACAGTGTTGTTATAATAATAATAATAATAGTAATAATAATCATAATAGTGCGGGGAACATAACATTATCTTATTTCACAATGGCACTTTCTAAATTGGCTACATTGTAAACATGTTTAAACACTATCGTCTTCTTTAAATTTAAATTTATTTGGATTTTTTTTTGTGTGCGTTAAATTTCCATATAGAGCTACCAATCAATAACATAGGCAACCCACTTTTTTATACAAAAAATAGCATTTTCGAAAATGTTATCCTAACATTCAAATGTTTAGACTCGAAAACAGAAACATATAAAATACTTAATAATATTTGACATGGTCATGAACTGAACAGGATGTACACATTTCTATCTTTCGAATTTACCATGATGTTGCAATACATGGTCCAAAGAGCATTTTCATATATTTTATCTCAATCTGTCAACTTCATCATGAACAATATCAATTATACGTGATGATTTGAGTTTTAGATCATCTTCAAAGTTATAATCATCTTCTTCAAATTCTTAACATGATAACGTAATGAATGATTACTTGATCTTATCAATAATAGCACTATACTTAGATATATATGTTTGTATTCTACTGTATCAGGCGCGAAGTGGAGTGCAACCCTGTAAATTTGCTTGAGTTTAATATTCTTAACTGCCACTAGAAAGTGCATTAATGATTTCCGATAAGCAGCTGTAACTGCCAGCGCATAAGCCAATAATGCCAAATAATATCAAAAGAATATCCTTGATGAGAATATATTTGCAAGGACCCAATTTATCCGGATACATAACGCAAATTTCCATAATCGCCGGGAACGCAATTCCCAATGCGGAGAGACAGAACGCACCAAACAATGAAATAAACAAGCCAAGAAGTGGAATTGTTACGGCAAGCACAACTGAAATAGAACAATGATATTATTACAATAACAATCCAACTCAAGTAGTCGGTATAACTTACAAGTAACGATGACAGCGCCAATGCGTAGAACGTATTCCCAGACGAGAAGATGGTTACTGTTTTCGAGACGTTTGAAAATGTACGTGTCCCATAAAATCTTCACTGGTACGTAGCCTTGTAAGCCGTATGAGATGAATATAGCAATGGAGTAAAGAATGTTGACTGTTTTCGCCAAGCTGCAACGAAACCAAACAATTTATTAATCATAAACATGCACGCGCACATTTTCACGTAGAATTATGTAATATTTATTAATTTATAAACTTACGCATCTTGTGGGGGGAAATTCAGCGTGATACTGGCCTCGCTCTGTTCACCATAGCGCCAGTATCCAAGGAAACCCATGCCAACATACAAAAATACAATAACAACCATCGCAACGTTCAAAACGCCGCATGTGCCGCCGAAAGATTTAGGTGTCTTCATGTTATTTTCTAACGCAATAACCTTTAAAGAAACAAAAATGGTTTTAATTTTTTTATATAAAAAAAAGAAGATTTAATTGTATACGTACAACACCAACGGCTTCCAAGGCAAACAAAGTTGTTCCGAAAAACAATGGGAACGTATATGCTGTTCCAAAATGAGGCCGCTCATCGATACTCGGCAGGTCTTGGAAAATGTAGTAAAGGACAATGCCGAAAGATGCGAAAGTAAGCACATTGGCTAACGTCGAGAAGGGTGCCAATAACTTGAGATTTCTTATTGAGTTGATGAGAATGAAAGGTACTAGAAGCATGAGGATGTATAATTTGACTGAAATCGCTGTCTCTGTATATTGATCAGCCACCGCTTTGATGTTTACTGCGACGAATACCACGTAAACGCAGCAAATACCAAGTTGGTAAATTACCAAAAAGAAGTCTACTAAAATTCTAAAAAAAATCATCGATATTATGTGGATTATGTCTAAAAATACGATTTTTAATCACTTACGGTGACATATTTGCAAATTTGCGAAGACACTGTGGTCCCGATTCTAAAGCTACCTTCATTGACTCTGGATATGTTAAAATTGGAACTTTCAGTCGCTTACACATAATATATTGAGCTTTTACCTATAAACAAAATTAACACGCATAAAAAATTACCATAAAACTGCAATAAATAATTAACACGTGTAAAATTTGAAATTTAAATTTTATTTTTATTTTATTAATATGCGCAGTTAATTTACTTACTAAGATATGAAGGCAGTATGTACACAGTATACCGATGAGAATTGTACAAATGAATCCATTCGTCAGGCCGGAGTTCTTGAAAGCTTCCGGCATCGCCAAGATACCGGTGCCCAAACTACCCTTAAGTAAATGGATGAGCGTCTCCGTATTGCTGGCAGAATAAGAAAACAAAGCGATCAATATGATGATTAATCGATGTGTATGCTATGCAATTGAAGTGTTTTAAATACCTTGTTGGATGCTCGACATTCCTGTGCAGATGCGGATCGTAATCGTCATCTTGCGGGCTGCCTTCTCCTCTTTCCACATTCCTAGAATCATCCGAATAATTTCTGCACGCACGTGACAATGGAAAGATGAAAAGAACACAACGTTTATTAATGCAACCATGCAGAGAACAATGATTAGTACATGTAGAAACAGTAACAATTCAACTTTTCAACAATTTCTTACTTGTTTGCTCCAACAGGCTTCAGCTTCATCGTCTCTTGCGCCATCTTGGAGGCTTTTCCGGTACGCGCGTGAAATGGCGCCTTAGGTTACTGGTCAAATTACGATTTGGTTCGTGTTTGAAAAATTCCTGAGGAGCTTAGCGTTATATAACATCGGACGTCACATGTGATTGTTCTTCGATGTTAAGTGTTAAGGAATACGACCTTTCGTTTTAACAATTCATTGTGTGTAATGCCGGATCGCCTGGAACAAACAAGAGAAAAATCAATTTGTGTTTGAAACATTTCATTACTGCTATAGTCATAGAGCAGATGATGGTTGAGTTAAATGATGGATGCCGAGGCAAATTAATCTTATTGTACTTATTATTCTGCTCTACATATTTGAATATTTATTTTGCTTACATAAGAAGCAATGTTTTGAGTTTATCAGTGGTAATTTTGAATGAATAAGTAAACAAATAAATTTGCAATTCAAAGTAACTAATTTTCAAATTACGTAAATTTATCTTTTCCGCATCGGGAAACTTTCCAGTCTACAGGTCTGCAGCTTACGCTGAAGTGCTGAAAATTCTGAATTTAGGTCAACTTCGTAGACTAGATGGACCCATTTTAAAATGATTACCCACACATTGTGTTATTTACGTCAAATTGAAGAATTTAAGGTAATTGCTTCTGTTAGTAATCGTGTAATCGATTTTGTAATTATCTAAATTTGTTTTTAGCACAATCGGACAAAGCTTACACATAATTTTTGTGTTTTTAAAACCCGCTAAATTTATTATATATTAATTTGATTGTCGCGCGGTATTATGAATGAAACTATCATAAATCGTTTTATGTACTTTGTGTATAATTAATGAAGCTTGCCTATAACTAGATAATTTACCTAATAATTGAAGCAATCAACGTTCGATTTATGTTGGTCACGATCAAACAATGTCACTATTCTTGCCGTAGGCGAAAATAAACTTGTAAACTATTAAATTAGGCGGAGTAATCTGATCGCACTTAAAATACGCACTGGCCAGAGTCAACTTGGCGCAATCCTGTGAGCTGGATGATCTGTTCAGCCCTACGTCCGATTCTGACTGATGACTTTTAAACGCAACGAGTTTGAACAACACAAATTTAGACCGTCGCGCAGTGTGTGTGCTTATTTTGTTCAGCAGTTGCAAACTGTTTTCTATACTCTATAGTCAACTGATGCAGCCAAGCCAAGACTTCTACAGTCATACATACGACATTTGCATTTAATAAATAATTACTCTGAAACTGTAATATTTATTTAAACAAAATTTGATACTTTTTGAAACTAAAGAAAAAAATCAAAAATTTAATTATGCCTTAAATAATAATTAAATACAGATATAGTTATGTTAATATTATTTAGAAAATAACCATGTTTGCCCGTGAACTTGACGTTGCGAAATAAAACGTGAGCACAAAATGCAAAAATAGATAAATTAGAAAATTGGGTCTGCCAAGTGATCAAAGTCGATAGACGACTTAACCTTTCCGTCTGACCACTGAATGCAATTATAATTATACGTAGAGGAATTTCGAGGGTGGTGCAGCTACAATGTGCCTTCAAAGCACACGAATTCATTGGCACGCTTTGTAGAAATTGCAATTATGTAATTTACAAGCAACGAGCAGAGACCAGAATCTCAAGTGACGTTTTAAGCGAAGTTTCGTCTAAAGTAGGCGGTCATGGTACATCTGCCACTGTACATCACTTATTGAATAATTAAAGCAATGATTTATGCTGTAAAGAAACCTTATAGCGAATTAGATTGTTAATTGACAATTGTTACCAACCGAGCTTTAAATGACAGACACACTTAACTATGATAAATTCGATATAAATAAAAATTACGGTGCCGAATATCTTTGTTCATAAAGGAAATTGATTTAAAAGAAAAATTAATCTATATCTAAATCAATTGAAATTAACTGTTAATAACTGTTAATTGCTTAAATATAAACATTCTCCAATTAAATCTTGTTAGTTAGATTAAGCTATTTTTAATTCATGTTTCGTTTGCAACAGTTGCTGTGTAATATTCAAAGTTCGTGATGTGTTTTTATTAATTTTGCGCAAACATGTTCCTTTTGAACTCTTGAAGAAATGTTGCATATACTGATTTATTTTTGGAATTTGCTTACAACATTAACCATCATCATCATCGTAATATTACAATATTATTTGTAAACAAGTAGCGATGCATGTTTAACATGCAAGATTATATATAGTCACGTCGGGATAACAAGATCACAAGCAAAATCAATTAATTCATTGAAATTTATATTATAAAATTGTTATTGCAAGAAATTTATATCATTTGAAGCATAAAAGTCAAATATTTTTCATAGTATGTGGTAATATTTTAATAGTGTGAATTTATTGCTGTCAATGATCTTCTCAAAGCAATTTTAGCTTATATTGTAATAAAAAAATATGTTTTTCCTGTTTATATTCAGTTTATACGCACATTAACGTCCGGTAATGCATTATTCGCGTTAAAACCTGTGTCCAAAAAGATATTTACGTTTTATTATGAATTTATGATTGAATATTAAATTTTGGTCTTCAAAACATATCCAATAACTTTAATAATACTATAAATATGTTCAAAAATTGTCAGTTAAATGATTAATTATAATTATGTTTACATATCTAAAAATAGTCTAAGAAAAAAAGCTGGCACTCAAAAAATATTAGGTAAAGCTTATTATATTTTTATATTAGTTGAATGAAAAGCTCATTGTCACATGATTGTCGGACGAAACGTGTTAAGCTTGACACGCATCACACATCGTAATTTCCTCTATGTATCTAAATATACAACATTTCTTTCACGGACAACGATTGTCGTTTCGGTCTTTGACCTATTGCGTCACTCCCAAAGTCATCGCTCCAAGGTATTTTCTGCACGATAACTGATGACACTAAAGCGAGAGTAATGAGCAATAAATCTAATCGTAATGTGCATGCAAACTTACACGCCGGCGTGTACGCATAATTTATTAATATGGTCGTTTCCTCAATTACGCGCTCCCCTTGCACGCTTGGATATTCTGGATTGAATTTGCGAGCAATTGCATAACCACGCAATTGAGAACCCTTGCGCCGCAGATGGTAGAAACACGTGGGAATATCGCGACGAGTATTATTCTTGTACTTACGCTTTTATAACGGTCATGCAGCACGCAGAGAATTTGGTGTTATCACTCGCGCACGAACCTTATAGTCGCGCAATTTTTTAGGATTAAGTGCGACGCGTGTGACGCGACTGTAAGTAGGGCACTATTATTTAGGGCGCCATATTTTCGGAGCGTGCTTATATGGGGGTTTGTACGAGGTAGGCATCCACCAACGTGCGCGGCGTCGCGACGCCGAGTATCTCGGTTTGAAGTTGTTTTCAAGCGCATTGCTGCGCCATCTGATTCACTCTAGTGATACTTTTTATTAATCATCACAGAAATCCTTATCTTATATTTTTTAGTAATTTGTTTAAATAAATTAGGGAATCGGATGATTTTGGTTAGTAATAATAATAAACATATTAACAATGACAACGTATTATATTAATTTTTATAAAAATTACATACTTTGCTCTAAAATCATGGAATCACTTATTTTTTTGGACATAACATTACATCACTAACATCTAATAAAACTAATTGTCTTGTATCTATACTACTCACAGTGGTAACAGTTTAGATGAGCAAATTGTTTGTCCGTGTTTAACATAGAAATATTTTTTGGTGAATTTTAAAGTATTGAACTAAGCATTGGACTAGAATAATATTCATGGCAAACACACACACATTCATGCCACTTTTCAATCTGTTTCAATAAACACTTTCGTTCAATGTATAAAAATATCATACTCACGACACTACTTATTAGAAAATTACGCTACTATACAACTATACATATTGTACTTATGAATGATCGTAACGAGTAACTAGATACATTTATGTGAAAAATAAATAGGATAAGAACGTAGTGTCACTCTTCGCCATTGACGAATTCATCAATGATCTTACTCAAACTGGTGTATGTGCCGATGACAAGGCCAAAGATACCAAAACAAATGAGCAAGACATTTTTGACTACCATAATATTGAATTTCATTCCATCCAGATAGTTCCAATAGGTGCACATGTCAATTAACGCTGGGATGGCAATGCCCAAAGCAGCCAAACACAAAGCACCGATCAAAGAAATGAAGAGATCTAGTTTTGGATATGCGGCCGCCAATGAGACTAAAATATTAATCACAAATTAATAATAATATTCACATTTTGATTTAATTGTTTTGTAGGTACTTACAAGTGATCAGCACAATCAATGTGCGGACAACGTACTCGATAAAGGACTTTTTGCTGTTTTTCAAAAACCTGTGACTCAGATACTCGTTCCATGTGATGTCAATGGCTACGTAACATTGAAGTGCGTACGTGATGAAGATCGACAAGGCCAGCATGACCTGGACAACTTGACCCAAACTAAAAAAAATCAAAATAATGCACTTCCTTGATCACGTTTTGCGGGTGGAATAAATTTAAAGTACTTACACGTCTCCTGGCGGCAAGTCCAATGTTATGGAACCTTTAACCTTGTTGCCATATGTTAAATATCCTAGGAAACCCATACCCATGTAAAGCGCTACGATGGAAGACATGCCGATGTTTAATACTCCAAAACCACCACCGAATTTCTTAGGGGTTTTCATTTCGTTTTCCAATGGCATAATCTATAATTAAATCAATTAGAAATAGAAGATTTCTTTTAAAAATTAGTTTAACTTACGACGCCGATAGCTTCCAAAGCAAAAAGTACAGTACCCAAAAACAGAGGCCAATTTTCAACGTCACCGACTGCATCACGCTCTTCAAACGTCGGAGAACCATCAATCAAGTAATATACAATGATACCAAAACTCACGAATGTGATAAAATTCGCCGCTGTTGAAAAGGGCGCGAGTAGTTTCAAGTTTTAATCCAGTTGATTAAAATCAAAGGTAAGAGGAACATTAACATGTACAATCGCAGATTGATGTCTTCAAAGTATTCATCGCATACATTTTTGATATTTGTGGCGATAAACACAATGTATACACAGCATGTGCCCATTTGGTACAGTAACAAGAAGGCATTCACCATATGACTAGAATAAAAATAAAAAATAAAATTTTTGTTTAAAAAAATAATTGATATTTAAGTAGTTATTATATTTACACTGATGCCGATGCACATTTTTGAAATATCGCTGGTCCTTCCAAGAATGCAGCTTCCGCAGTTGCTGGATATGTGAGACTAGGTTCCCGACGACGTTTGCACAATTCATATTCAGCGCTGATAAGCAAGTGAATGCAATATGTGCAAATTAATCCAATCAAAACTGTTCCAATTAAACCGATGATGTATCCAGAATGAGAAAACGCTAAGGGCATAGCTAAAATGCCAGTTCCCAGACTGCCTTTTAGCAAATGGAAGAGCGTCTCAGAGTTCCTAAAATAATAAAATTTCTCATTATTAGATTCTCATTGCATGTCACATGAATATAATTTTCTTTAAATGGTGTGCGAAAGTATTTTAGCAATGTGACGAAAATGCGAGTTCAACGTCATTCGACAAGTGAACAAATTAGTTGCCGGTCGAATATTGCCGGTGCCAAAAATTCACGTTACGCAACGTCGACGTCGGCAAACTATTATTTTCACTTTAAAAGCAGGGCCACGTTTAAAATTAGCGCCTAGCGCCTGCAATGCGCATCATTTGTATGAGCATAAAACTATAAGTGCGATTCTGCGGCGTTGGTGTACAAAGAGGAATATAGATACAACAATACAATAGCATTCGACGATATGACACGTGCGTAAAATGAAAATCGTTTCTAGGTGATTCATGAAAGAGATAAACGTGTGTTGACACCGTTTATAAAACTAGATAATCTTTTGAATATAAAGTAATTGACTACTTAGTTTAAAGTGTGCAAATTGTGCATACAAGTGCCTAAATTTAAATAATTTAAATTTAAACATTTGGCACTTATTAACATGCATAAATTAGTGGAAAAATTCGAATTAATTTGGCTCGAAATGTGCATATTTTCACAGCGAGAGAATAAAACATAAATAAATTTGTTATTAAT